AGTCACTTAACCAAAGTAAAATCTCGTTTAAGCTTATTACTAAATAAACATTAGAAAGACAGTAGTTTCATGCATAGATATATTTACTCGTTATACTCGAAGGTTATATTGCTTGATCACAACACGAACATTACTTTAGTATTAATCTAGTTCTGTGCTTAAACGAAAGCATAACCATGTGTATATATATATTTAAAAAACTGTCTTCCTTCACGCATCCAACCAAAGTGCGAAAAATGATAAGAATAATATCAATACAATGCTTATTCTTTTTTCGGTATTGGAATTTCTCCAGTATTTGCTTGTTCTACCATGCGTCATTCGTACAGCCGTATGGTAAGTCTACACCAAATAACTAATAAGCATCACAGTATACGCGAAATAATGATGACAATATCATCACACTATACTTCTCTATTGCTTGAAAATTTTACCTTTTTCTTCCTGATTGACTCACTCATCCTTCGTACTCTAATACAAAAAAGTATTATAATATGCGCAAAACTATCACATGGATATAGTCGATACAAATGTTGGTTTTTTTTATTGTAAGAAATTAAATCTTGAATTGATTGATTATTATGAGTGTTCATTTTAAATAGTTATCTTCATATGGCTTGATTTTAAAAATAAAATACAAACAAATCATCCAAGCTAATTATATAATATTTTTTTGTAATAGCTCTTTAAGAAAAATAATGATGCGAAATCTATGTAATTGAAAAGGTCTTTTTCAAACGTTGAGTATAGATGCGTTTATTTTGCTTTTCTTTTTAATGTCACTATCAACATCTGCATTCTTATCTTAGATAAATTCTCTTTTTTTTTCTCCCATCAACATGTCTCTCTTTCGATCATTGTAGATACTTCATATAAAAACAAGGGTCATTATGAACTAAAAATATTATAATAGTTCACGTAGTTTACAATAGTGAAATAAACTTATTCTATAATTCAATTTTTATTTTGCACAAAGGTCAAGGTAAAAGACAAATGCTTCTCCCGAAATTTAATGTACGTTGACATATGTAGTACATTCTTTGAATTCAATTGAACGTCATTATTCATAATTATTTCCTTAGATTTCGATATATCTGCCCAGAAAAAAAATAGTTCAACTGTGTAATTCGAATATATATCAACACTTTTGTAAAAGTAATTAGATATTTTGAAAGCTCGTGGATTTTTCTATCACTCTGTGTAATTAGATTTTAGTTCTAACCTATTCATTATCAAAATAAATTTAAAGTGATGAAAGCACCCTCATGTCCCGATTCCTTTAAACTTGATTTGGTCACTGTCATCAAAATTAGTTTTTATCACTATAGAACCATCTTTTGAGAAAAGTAATTATGTATTCTGATAGGACATGACATTCTCTATCATTCTGTATATCTAACTATTGTCTTAAATTTGTTACTTGGACAATAACTTGAATAAAACGAACGTACCCTAAATCGACAAGTATAAAAAATCTACATTTTTTGCCCTTTTTAAAAGTTTTTTCTCCAATTATTATTTCCTATAGGAACAAGTTTTTTTCTAAAAGAAATTCGATATTCTGATAGTGCTTGAAATTCTCTATCATCCTTTGTATTAATCTAGCGTCTTGAATTTGAATAGCGAAAAAAAATGAACATTTTTTGTACTTGTCAATTCACGGTGTGTTCTTTGTACTGAATTTTTTTAAAAATAAATCAATATAAGAAAATGGATAAATACACAGAATGATAGAGAATTTCAAGCTCTATCAGAATTTATAATTACTTTTCTAAAAAGATAGTTTTTTAATGATAAAAAATTTAAAAAACGAATTCTGACAACAGTGACAACATTAAATTTATGGGAATTTGGACATGAGAATATTTTCATTACGTTCAATTTTTTTTGAAAATAAATAGATCGAAACTAAAACATAATTATACAGAGTGCTAGAAAACTTCACGGGCTTCCAAAACATGTAATTACTTTAAAAAAAAAGCATGGTCTTATAATGGAAATATATTCGAAATACAGAGCCTAACTGTTTTTGCCAGGAAGATGCGTAGAAACATACTGGGCCGAGAAATTTTCAAAGAAAAATGAAAAAAAAAACATAAACCGAGAAAAAACGAAATAAATTTTTTGTTTTTCCTAAAAACATCTTAGTTTTTGAATAAGCTTGACAGAAATCTTCAAAAACTTTTGGGAAAAAGGAAGTGTTGAGTAAAAATTTTTGTCGTTTGTTAAAGATCTAAAAACGGACTATCTTTTCATGTATTTATCTCAATTTCGAAATTTTTGATGAAAATTCACTTTTTCTGGCCGAGGCTGGAGGTCTTAATGTTTTAACATTGTTATCCAATAATAACTTTATTCTATTTTGATACTTTTGACTGACTTCTTTTCGGTTATTTCAATCATCAGTTAAAATGAAAATATAGTTCGATATTAATTTATTAATTAAATCTTTTGTATGTACGATATTGTTTTAATTGATTGATATTAAGGTGTAGTCTATTTATGAATTTGAATAAAAAAAATTCGAATAATCTTATTGAAAAAAATATTTAAATAAATTAAATATTTTATTTCATTTATTGATCGAAGATCATTATCATCAGTATAACCATTCAACAATATTTCATTATTCAAATTATCAAAAGAAAAAAATTTCTTTTTTTGTTCTTCGATATTTCAATTTCAAATGGTTATGCGTTTTGTTTTCAATGATCAATGTTCTCTTGAAAATCTTCTAATAATTAAAAAGATTTTCGAACGGATAAAGAGAATATTGTTATAATGAGATGAGGCTTGCCAAACCTCCTCATTTTTTCAATTTTCCCATGATAAAAAAATCTCTTGATTTCAGAAGCTGTTTTTACGATTTTCTCCTGAGTTCTCCTGAGTTTATTTTTAAATCACTTCATGATTAGCAACACGTGGATCGGTGCAGGCTTCGAACGGAAAAGAATTTTTTTCATTTTTTAATGGATATAATAATAATATCCAAGAAGATTACGGATTTCTTTTCGTTTTCTTCTCTAACATGAAATCATAATTAAACATAATTATTTGTAGATCACTTATTTTCAATGTGTTATTCATAAGTATATGATATTAATTTTGATTTTGGTATTTCTTAATTTGGATTTACTTTTATATATTTTGTATATTCCAATAGGTAGTGACAGCATGAATATGAAAATAAACATTATGACATAAATAAACTTGCTTTATTTATTTCATTTACAGGAGATTTTCTTCCTTCAAGGGTGTGGGTGTGGGTGTGAGCCTTGGTTTATTTTTCTTCAATTACACACCCACACACCCACACCCTAAGTAATTAACGAATATGATTCCAAAGTAGATCTTCGAATATTTTACACGTCATAAATAAAATGGATGTATAGCTAGAATATTAATTAACAAAGAATCGAGACAAAAATGAAATGGATATTAATCACGAACTTTCATTTATTTGATCGACCGATGATTCATTCTCACATAGGAGTATGTTCAGCTGCATGCGTCGTACAGAGTCTTATTGATATCATGATTCTTTCTTGTAGACTTTTATCCGTATGTTAGATGATTTACTTTCTATCTATGTTTCCTATTCTGTTTATGAACTTGTCACGAACTTCGATATCAAGATCGAACTAATAAAATAATGTCACTGGTTATTTTGAACGATAAGGACTAAAGACAATACTTTCATGCTTCGAAAGCTTGTCTTTGAAGAAATCGATCGTGAATAGCAAGTATGGAACCTTTGTATAGTATAGAAGTGCACCACAGTAAAACCCGAAAATTTTTCCAGGCTGGATGCGGGAGTAAAAAAGAGTCACATGAACACACTCGGACCCGTGCTCTCCACTACATCCATGTACAACTATACCTACACATATTCACACCATCCAGTCATCAACAATTATTCAAACGACGTGCAAAGGAAGTCAGATCCGTGGCTTTATATAATAACAAGGCTTTTCTCATGGTTGAATTCTAATCATGTAATGACAGGACGACTACGGTAGTCAATTTCTATAATAGAGAGTGTCGACCTCTTCTATAATGGTGTGGGTGTGAACAGAAGACTCACACCCACACCTTGCTTTTGACAAAGTACTGTTTCATGTTCCGTCATTAGGATTTGGCCTGTGAGTATGCAACAAGACAAACTAAAAATTCCGTCATTGATTCCAACGATTGCAACGACAAATATTCAAAATTTATCCATTAATTAATTGACTTTTAATGATTTGATTATGTTGCTTCCTGCAATGCAAAATGTTAAATCAATTCATATTGATTAGAATATAGAATATGATAATCGGCCTAATGAGCAACAACAATTAATGGTAATTGATATACCATTGTTACCTAAATTTATTAATATGTATCTAAAATTATCAGATGCTTTAAATTTGAACATATTGAATATGTGTTAAAACATAGACAAAACTTTAAAAAATTATTTATGTGGGGATGATATCATTTATTTGATGCGATGAAATGGAAACTTTTACTACCCATGAACTGTCCGAAACTTATAAAATTTCACTTGATATGTACTGGTCCAATATCGAGTGATGAATTTGATCAAGCAGTCGATAATTTCGAACAAATATATCCAACAAGATCATTTTGGATCGAACGAAATATTACAATTTCAGATGATGATAGGTCCGGTCATGATTATCGTTCTGACATTTCTGTTGAATTTAATATAAAATGCTTGTCATATGCAATCAGCACGACCAGATCAAAAAATAATAAATCGGAATTATCTAACGAAAATTCGGAAAACAGTTCCCTGACATTCAAATACTTATATCACTATTTTTGAGTGTGGGTGTGAATATTGGTGTTCTCTTCACCCACATCCTCAAGGATTTTTGCCATCTGGTTTGAGAGATGTTTTCTTGGACTATTTCTTAATCATATACGAAAAAAACTCTATCAAATAAAAATGTTTATTTAATGTACCACTCAAAAATAAAAATAAAAAATAATCTTTAACATGTATTGAATGATTGTCCACATGATGAACAAATTTTGCTTGTTAGATCTTGTCGTGATGCACCACATCGAGAACAAAATTCTATAGTAGATTGAGCAGAATATGGTGGAGGTATCATATTATTATGTCCTCCAATAACTGATGTTGAATTAACACCATCTTGATTGGAATAATATAGTACACTTTCTGGAGAAGTAGATCGACCAATATCAATAACTAACTGAAATAAATAGTAGAAATTCATTAATGTAAAATTATTCTAGAATTTATCATGATAGTTATTTTAAAATAACAATAAAACTTACATGATAACCTAAATGATTGTTACGATAAATTCCATATCTTCCAACAAAATGTGTCATTGTATCTAATCTCCAACTACATGGTATCGGTGATCTCGACGAATATATCTTTGATTCTTCAGCAATTGCATGTCGCATTTGTCTTATACATCGAAGTTTTATTGTATACCATCCAATACCAAAAAGAATCGATCCGAAAATAATCACAATAATTCCAATTGTACGAAATTCATATGAAAAATGATAAAGTAGCATTATTCCACTGATTATGCTCAAACAGAAAATGATTGAAAGACATATTAAAATTTTGTTTGATGAAATTGTACGATTAATTTTAGAAATCGATTTATGAAAATCCTCTTTACTAATTATTCCATTTAAATGAATTGGATATGTTGAATCAAATTTTGATTTACAACATCCAACTAAAACATCAAGAGTAAACATAATATCGAATAGGAAAATAATAATAACTTACTATTAATCATTGGTATATGAACTGAAGTTGGATTTAACGGAACTGTAATCATTTTTTTCTCTTTAATTCAAACTAAAATAAAGATATATCACTAATGAGAGAAATTTTAAAATATCAAATGAAGTATATCATATAATAAGACAAAACTCGGCAACATAAAAAGTGGACAAAAAAACATAAGTGTATCTTGGTTTGTTTTGTATATGTTAGTCGGAAAAACAAGTTATTTAATATAATTATCCTGACGTCATGTAACAGAAAATAAGCAGAACGACAAGAAATAGAAAATGTTTTATACAAAGCGATATATTTTCTTTTTCTTTGCGATACAAACGATGAAGGAAAATCTACCGTCTCTTACTTATAGGGTAACGATGATTGGTCTTTGCTGTTCTATTATTATAGGGTGCCAACGATGAAAAAGAAAATCCTTTTTTTTTCTGTGTTTATAAGAGAAAGAATTCTGTCTCGCATGGAAAACATGCTATAACGATAGAATGATAAAAATAAATCGCAGTAACTCAGCGAATGACTGCGTCACTACTACTTTCATCGAGTTTCATAATTTTCAGAATTGAACCAAACGGAAGTCCATAGTCTGTGATTCATTCATATTATCTATAATGTGTAAAACTAGGGTGTCGGTATGAATTTAAAGAAGAACTAGACTCACATCCTACTTCAAATATTTCTTATTCATTTATTTTACAAAGTAACTAATTAATCTTTTTTTTTTCGTATGACAAAAGCAATTTTAAACTGGTTGTCAATTACTGAGAAAAATTGATTCTTCATATGGATGACTAATCGAAACTCTGTTCTAAATGATGTGATAACATTTAGATTTTAATTCCATTTAATATAAATCTAACCATATTGTTCTAATATCAGAGAAAAGTTCTGTAATCTTTTGTAACATTGAATTTACAATTATGTGTTGATTAGGTTCATCTTTGAAGTTTTGAGTCTGTAAAGATCGAAATCGATAATCAATAAAATTTAGATTAATGCCCATTTCAAAAAAAAAAGACCGGTGAATATTTTTCGAATAAATTTTGATAGAAATATGATGGAAAGCTACGGTTTTCATCGTTGAAAACGACAGATAAAAATACATCAAATTATATCAGATAGTGACTTTTAACTTGGACTTTTGGACATTTTTGCAATAGTGTAGCAAAAAAATGTCTTCAAAACAGGTTTGATTTATCCAGGAAAAAACGAGGAAAACTCAAAAAACTCAATATTTTTTTTTTACAGAAATTACTAGCAAAGTGGACTAGAATTTTCGAGTATCATACTGAGAACTTCCAGAACAGTAAAGATTTAAATCAAGCCTTATAGATAGTTTCTTGTAGCTCCTCAGCTGGTGATTCTAATCCACTTCTCTAAGTGAAAGATTTGTTCTATCTTCATAGAGCAGCAATCTACTCTTCCAAGATAGCCATATTTCACTACTTATTTATGAAATAAATCTCAACAATTTTATATGAATCGATGGGATGGATTAGCTTTTTTTTTCAACAGTGAAAATCGTAGCTCTCTATCAAAAGTTCTTCAAAAAATACTCATCCGCCTTTTTCTTTTTGAAACGGGCATTAGTATTAATGAATCAATTGACATTTTCATATTGAATATGTACATCCAAAACAATATCCATAGATTCGTCATAATTGTGTTAATGTGTCTTTAAGCGGAGCAAAATCAGAGTTGCCAGATCTTCCGCTAAAATTCTGGATTTTGAAATTTTTTCTGTTTTTTTTCCGCATTTCGAACACTTTAGTTCAATTTTATTTCACTTCTATTTATAGGGTGACATAATGATTATGTTGAAAGTGTTTTTTCAATACGAAACATTTAATTGATGATCAACGAGATCTCATGCAAACAGTACTCATTAAAGTTGAATTAAAAATCTGTTGAAATATTCCTTTATCGTGAACAGAAATTTATGATTTTTCCTGATCAAAACCAGAAGTATTGCGACTTATTCCAGTGAAAGATGTTCTGCAAACAAAAATTTGTAAATTAATAGTGAATTACAACATTTGATTGATACTTTCTGTTTTGTTTTTCATTAAGTTAACGATGTTTTGATGCATTTTTGGTTGGTTCATTTAAATATATTTTGTAAAGATAAAGAACAGCGATGCTGATAATTCGGTTGAAAAAAACGCACTTTTAGCAAAAAGAAATGACCCTAAAATTTTTTTTCTGGATTTCGAGGAAAATTTTTCGAGATTTTCTGGAATGTGAGATTTAAATTCCGGATTTCTGAGCTTCACATCTGGCAACACTGAGAAAAAACGTTTAATTGTAATTCATTGGATGGATTTAATTCAACATCACATTGATAAATATTATCTTCAAGTTTTTTTTGTTCAATATATGATTTAATACAAATTGAATATATTTGATCAGTTTGTAATTAGACCAATTCATACTCAAATGAATGATACTTATTCGTATCAATTGTTCAGACAAGTTGAAGTCGTTGTGGAATATAATATCTACTTCATTAGAGAACTTTTCTTTAGAAAAATCTGATTGACAAATTATTGATACTTGTATATCATTTATTGTATTTATTAAAATCATACGAAAACCTTTGATTAATGGTTGATCAATAGAATCATCTAGTTTCCATGAAAAATTAGCCGAAAATTTATTTTCAACATTCCTTTAAGAAATCCTTTTTATGTAGAGCAAAAAGCTACCATTTACAATCCAATCAGTGCTACTTTAAGTGTTGGTGTTGACAAAAAATCAGTGAATGGAATAATCCGTTTGATTTTTATTTCATTAGATTTTGTTATAAAATAATTTATTTCATTTTCTTTTTGAACAGCAAATAAAGCCTGAACATAAACTTTATGAAGAAAAAAACAAATAAAAATACAAAATATTTGAATTTTATTTTATTTAAAATCAATTACATGTATTCAAGTCGATCGGAAATGTCTTTCACATTCAATTGAAGATGGAAAAATATTAATTACTTTTGATAGTATTGAAAAATGTTTGCTCACCTATATGAACTTCATAGATAGTTACATATGATTCTATTAGTATCGGTCGATCTAACAATGGAGCCATGTGTATTAAAAATCAAAAAGATAGGACAGAACCGGTGTTCGTTCAGCGAAAAAAGTTTCAGCGAACACATTTTTCAGCGAAAAAAAACAGCGAAAATTTATTTCAGCGAAAATGAGCTGTGGCGAAAAGGCAAATAGCGAAAATACAAAACAGCGAAAGTACAAAATAGCGAAAAAGCGAAGAGCGAATGTCAACAATAGCGAAACACAACATCGCGAAAGCACTCTCAGCGAAATATTTTTCCTTCAAGATCTCAACTTATCTTTATATGGTGATGGCTCATTATGGCCAGTGCGTCCAACAGTAACAATCTTGGCCCATTCTTATCTATTCTGACCAAGTAACATGCTATTCGACTAATTTTTTTTTGTCGTACATCTTTCTTTCGTCCATGATGTTAGTTCGTATTACGCACATCATTTTATTATTTTGTTGAACTTAGTAAGCATGACTGACTCAACAGCGAGAGTGAAAATATGAGTGTGGGGTTGGGGTGGGGTAGGATGGGTATTATGAAAAACTTAACACCCACAGTCACACCCAAAATGAGAAGAATTATTATTTCGTCAACAACGAGGAAAACTAGATACTGGTGTTCAAAAAAAAATAAGTAGTAACATCTGTATCAGTCGCACGCAAATTGATACATTAACTGAACGATATGAAGAAGAACAAATTACTTTGATCGACTCTCTCTATGGACTATCTACACAGGTTGTTAAAAGTTCTACAAAATCACTTTGAACTTCTCATAATTATAATTTATTTTTTTATCTGGTTTTATTGGCAGTACTTGACATCGATCCGTTACGTTTCTTTATTTCTTGAATCTTATTGATTTTTATCGTCTTTTTACTGAGAAATAAATTTTGGCTATCGAAAATTTCGCTGTTTTTGTTTTCGCTATTCGCTCAAACGTGCTTTCGCTATGAGAATTTTTTTGAGGAAAAATACTTCGCTTATTGTAGCTTTCGCTGATTTATTCGTTCGCTTATTTTCCATTTCGCTGAAATATTTTTCGCCGTTTAGTCATTTCGCTCAAAATTATTTCGCTGATTAGCACCCTTCCCATAGGACATATTCTCGTCAAATGAAAGCTCTCACACTCAAACTAACAAAGAGGGTGTGGGCGTGGGTGTGGGTTTGGGTGTGGGTGTGGGTTTGGGTGTGGATGTGGGTGGGTGTGGGTGTGAGTGTTGCTTTGGCTTTTTTTCATACCCACACCCGCATCCACACACCCACACCCACACCCACACCCCACCCCACCCCACACCCACCCGTACCGACATCCACACCCCACACCCTCAAGAAACGATTAACCAACTAAATGAAAATACATATTTGAAAGAAACAAAAAAAAACAATCACAGGTAGAATCTTTGATAAAAGAAAAATTATGTTTCTGAATTTTAGTTATGGAAATGTGGAAAATTTTGGAAATATATAATGAACAATGGCTCAGATACGGAGAATCAAATAGATGATGACCTTTAGTAAGATTTAGGCGAGAATATGCGAAAATAATTTTTGTATCAGATGATAATATGCAGTAGGCTTGTTTGTCATATAGTTAATACAGAAAATAACTTTAACAGGAATATTTCTGTCTACTTTTGATGTAAAATACTTCATGTGAAAGTAGTCAGTCATTACTCAGTTGTTTATCAGAAAGAAGTTTATCTTCTCATATGTGAACAATCGATTATCTTTATTTGTTTCAAGCGATAGGTATTTATATATACATAATTTTGGAATAAAAGGAGCGTATTGAAAAAGAGAACATATTCATTTACGCATGATCACAGAACGACGAAAGATACAGATGAAATACTAATACTTGATCAAGTCATGATAATGATAAAAACAAATCATG